AAATGCTAAAATTATAACTACAGTAAACATGTTGATGACCAGGAAAGGCACTCCAAAATGCATAGTCACAGCTGTACTTTGAATTAAATGTGCTTTTTCACACTGGTATCACCTCAGATGCCTCCTTGAGCGCAATCTCATTGCAGCAGACATTTAAGTTTTTAAAACCCACCTGTCAGATGTCTGACAGTATAACAAGATGAAGGACAGTCAGTAGGATAGATGTCCTGGCAGGTCTCCAGAGTTACATGACTGTCTGCTGTACAGGTACACATTTTCAAAGTCATTGATTTGTTTTTCTCACAATACAATCTCCTGATAAAATGATTATTCTTACTCCAGATTTATAGGTAGCATTATTATCTATTATTATATATAACCTTTTGGACCCACAGGGCAAAGTTAGGACTTCACTTAGTCCTAAAGCAAACATCTGCACCAAAGAACTTTCAATATAAATAAAAATCAAGAGACAACAGAATTTGGTGGGCACCGGATACAAAATAGATAGAATTCTGGAGATTCAGTCAGTACAATCACTAAGAGAAGCATCAAATACAACTGTACCTTTTCCTCTTATTGATCATAATTTTTGTAGATTGTTGTTAGACTGTTGAAAGCAGAACATCAAAGCGACAAAAGAAACTCCTGCCCAATTTCTTTAGGTCCTCACAAATTCATTGTCTGTCTTCTCTCTTAGACCCATAGCTGCCTATATCAATGACTGCCAGGTTTATGCAAGAGAGGGTACCTAGTGTTCCTGTCATTCACTATTCAGTGCATGTTCTTGCAGCTCCTGGGTAATGGACACCTGGAAAACCATTAATCACAGTGGTAAAAACAGAATTGATCTTCCAAATTCACGTGAGGCTTCTGCTGTAACTCCAAGCAGCTCCCCCACACAAAGTCAGTCTATGCAGATGAGACTGTTCATAAAGTGTCGGGGTTGCAAGCAGGTCAACTTTTACTGGCATCATTTAGACATTAGCTATGCAGAAAAGGGTACCCAGAAATGGATGTCTTATTGCTTACCCCTGCATCTAGTACCTTTGGCTGCACTATCCATCTTCACTCTTAGTTATACAGTAATTTATGAAGAAAAAAAAGTATCCCCATGAATACCAGAACTGAGTAAGTTTGATGTCTTATCAGCCCTTGTAACAGATTGACACTGATCTCTGGAAAGGTGCAAGCCCAGACTAAGGCCTTCATGGGCTTTTTCCTGTGGAATTCAGTGTTTAATAAGGCCTAAGTTCCCAGTGAAAATTACACTGAGTTGGGGCACTCATAAGATGCAGCTGTAGGTTCTCTCCTTTTAAATGATTACTTGTATATCTTGCAAGAACTTAATCATTTTAAGCCCGTGTCTCTGTCACCTACGGTTGAACCTGGTTATCAGTTTCAGCATTATCTCCATTTCCACAGGAAAACAGAAGAAACGTGTGTTTCTTCACGTTTTATTTTGACCAAAGGTTCCTCTCCTTCATGCTTCTTTTAAATAAAGGGATACCACAGTACAGGGGCAGGTAGGTAGCAACAGACTCTCCCCCTTTGATACAACATCTTTTGGGGATGATGGCCTGAGCTGAAGTCTTTAAACAACACAGGCTGTCATTTCAACAGCCACAGGACACCTGAGGGGAGAGTACTGATCAATAGGTGGCTTATATAACATTGTACTGGATAATCACTTTCCTATTTTTTCAACTCTGTTGCACCACATGCCCTTTTCGCTGTCCCTACATATTTTATGTCGGCATAGATCTGAAAACAACTAAAATAAAACTGTTGTCTGCTATCTTATTTATTCACCAAGGTGAACAGCCCATTTTTGTTTCTCATCTCTTTTTTTTCCTATAGAAATTTAGAGCCCTTTCTCTGACAAAACATGACACCGCTCAGCTTCCACTACCTGATGCTGCAGCCCTTTTAACAGAAGGCACATCTGTGGCAACGGGGGCAGGCAGTGCCTGGCTCGAAATGAGTTTTGCAGCTGGCCACATTTCAAAGGGGGCTTTTACCAGACAGTGAGGAAATTTCATATTGTTAAGAAATATGACAGCCACTTGGAGGTGGTAGTGAGCAAAGGTTTTAATGAAACTAACATTTACTATCAAACCTAACTGATTCGTTAGGTTTTTTAAAAAAATGAAAAGCGAGAGCTGCTGGATGCCTATGAAACATGCTATAAAAGCAGGTGCCATAAAACTGAGACGATATAAATTTGCAGACTAATTTGATTGCTAGTGCAGATGCATAGCTGTTAATGCTCCATGGTTGATACATTAGTGGCAACTGAAACAAGTCTGGCTTATTCCATTTTCAGTAAACAGAGCATGAGGTTGGCTGTAAACGGTCTGTTTAGCAGAACAGACTGAACATACGAAAAATTATTCATTACAAACATTTACAACCCACACATGTCATTTATATCATTTGACCACTCAACATAAAAGGTTTATTGTTTTTGGCAAAATAAGCTGCAAACATCCCTAATTGGGATGCAAATTTAATGCACAGTTTAACACTGTTGACAGCTAAAAGGCTCGTACGGGCATTTCCATACATTTTTCCACTTACGTTACAGATGGTGAACAGCAGATATATAGTCAAGAGCCAAAATTATTTCAGAAGTGTAGTATTCTTATTTCACAAATTTTATATGTTTGTCAATATTGCAAGACTGACTTTAAGATTTTCCTTTCTGGCAAAATATACAAAGTGAACAAATTAGGTTTTGTAATTAAATCAAGTCTGTGAGAAATCTTGAAAAGTTACAACTGTATAATATTTTTCAGACTAACTGCAAAACAGCTTCTACCAAATTCCTCGCACACATTTGATAACTCTTAGCCTCTAGTGCCTGTCTATTGACAGAAGAGGTTTAAGTTACAGATCCCAAAGTACTGCTGATTACTTCCATTTTCCAGTCAGTAAAGGTCAATGCATGTAAACACCTGAGCCATAACATTGGCTAGCACAAGCCAGATGAGGCCTGATATAAGTTCTGTTAAACTCAGGGTAAGATTTGCGTTGATTTTAATGGGAGTTTGATTAGAATTATTGGCTATATCTGTATGTACAGAACTGTCTATGGCACTGATGCCAGCTGGCCTGGAGAGTCCTATTAACTTTATTAGCACTATTAAATGCTATTACCATTTAAAACAGACTGGCTGCATGAAACCTGCCTACAAGGAATGGTTCCTTGTCTCTGCTAGCTCCTGAGCTGTACCCAGAACAGTGTTGGCTGGTCTGGGCCAAAGCTGTGCCAGGGAACATTTAACAGCACAGATGACTGAGTTTCAGGGATGCCGCTCAATTTACTAGCACAGATGTAGCCACTGTGCAAGCCACTGTGCAAGCCACTTTGCAATGATCAAGCACAAAACAAACCTCTCCACATTGCAGTTAATGCAATTTGATCCTACATTGATTAAATTGTCTTTTGATTTTGATAGCATGTACAGGACAGCTGGGCCACTGGCTGGAACCATTGAAGTAATTTCTCTGTTATTTTCTAGATGTATTTAAAACTACGTCGTAGATGTTAACAATTCTCTGTATCATACAAAATGTCTATAAAGTTCTAATTTCTCTTAGATCATAAAGCTCTGAATCTTTCTAATCGTGTAATAATTGTGTCTCATTTTTTAAATCTGAAAGGCTAGGAAAACATGCTTACGTCAAATACTAACACTATTCTTCAATTGCTATGCAAGAACACTTCAGGATTTCCACTGAAGTTACACACAAGTCTCTTCGTCCTTAACTGCATAAGCTTCTGAACGTTCTGTGTAGTGATTATAATTTTTTTCAACTTTGGATCAACGTAAATGTGTTTACTTCTTAGTATCAAGCTATGCTTGTGCCTTGAGTTTTTAGAATGTGTGATTAAAGTACACTGTGAAGTATGCTTAAATACACTAAAAGAAACTTGTAGAAACTTGTGGGTTAGGTGCTCTTGAACAATTCAATTTACTGTAATGATCTGCAAATAAGAAGTGGAGTTTTTCTCCATTTACACAATGTTGCCAACAAAAATACCAGGCTACTCAGAAGTGCAGAAAAAAAAGAGGTGTTACTTCATCTGGGAACAGAAACTGATCTCTTTTGATGTAAATTGCAGCTTCTTATACGAATATCGCTACATATTACACCTGTGACTGTTTAACTGTCATCATCTAAAAATCACATTAGTGAAAACACAGTTCCGTAAGTAAAGTACTGGAGTCATTAATAAACCATTAGCTGTTACTCATACAGTCATTTAGAAAGTTGCCAGTATTGCCACGTTTTCATTAGTAAAGTTTCCCTTTGTTGTAAAGGGAAATGTTTCCTTTGTTATATAAAGGAATATAAGACTATCAAATAAAATTGCTTCAAGTGAAATTACAGCTATAAAGATTCTTTTTTTTTTTTTTTTTCATTTACAAACCACATAAAGCCCCTGTGCATGACCCTGTAAGTCCTGTTTTGTGCTGGCTCCCTCCCATATGGATAAATCTGCCCTGTTGTCCTTCAACACAAAGTTGAACTCTCCCTTGAGTAAATAGGCCTGGTACATAGCCAGAATACCCTACATACTGCACTTCTCCCATCTTCTCAAGTTTAGTCTCTGTCAATACTGAAAGAAGTTCTAGAAATTGATTTTTCTCTTCTAAGCCAGTTTACTACAAAAAAGTGCATTCAAACCTAACATAAGCATAACTTACCTGGATCCTGGTTTCTGCCTTTATAACATTGCTACCATGGTATAAAGGGAAATTCAGAAAAATGAGAATTCAAACATGACAACTTTATTTATACTCAGCTTTGCATAAAAAGTGAGAAGTACAAGTTCTTGCTCTGCTTCCATTAAAATGCTATAGATTTCTGCAAAACAGAGAGCTAGGTTAGTCACCGTTTAACTAAATACCACAGCTTTGCACAGAAAAATACAGCATTAATTCAATTGCCAAATTTATCTGTTTGTCTATTGCACTGTATGAAGGACTTACCTTATTGACTGGAAGAATGTTTTTCACATTGAAGTAGAATCCAAAGTAAACCATGTTGAAAACTCCGTGACGGCCTAGTGTTGCAGTAAGACCTTTGTTGAGCCCTTGGAAGCCCAGACCATCGGTTTTAATGATCTGCCGAGCTTGAACAAAGCTAGATGGTTGCTACATAAGTTAAGCAAAAGAAGGAAAAGATCATGTTTACAAAAAGAAAATAATAACCATAGCATCATTTCAATCCTGTTGACAAACACAGTGTTGCCAATTTTTGTCATTTTATCTTAAGTCTCACCATATTTGTTATTTTTGTTTCCTGTGGTCATGCAAAAATCACAACTTTCATTAAAAAAAATTCCTCATTTTTCTGATTGCAGGAAAAAGACGAAAGCATGACTCGAGTACTGTAAAAGACTAAGGTTCATGGAATATGCATGGTGCGGGAGTGATAAAAAGGACAGAATTGGAACAGGAAATTTCTGAGCCATTATGGCTATAGAAGCAAGTCCTTGGGAGCCACAAATTAGAGTAGGAAGGCAGGCTACAAATATTTGTGTTGAAGATCAGTTTTGGAGTTTCCAGATTCAGTGTTAGGAATAGGGTTGAAAGGGTGACAATAGGCATACATATTGTCTGGGAACCCTTCCGGATCTTCTGAGGCTCTTCATGCTATTAAGAACTCAAATTTAAGCCAGTTTAAGACACTGGATTTTGAAGGAGTTATTGCATATAAAGCAATTTTTAAAACCAGATCACATGTTAAACTTTCTTCTAGTGTTGAAAATCTTGAAAAGAGGGTGAGGTCTTGTGTTTATTTTTTTTTTTTAAGCGTCCAACTGGAAATCCTGTTTTGCCCTCCTAATGAATTATGTGACTTAAAAAGTGTAGTTAAATTTTGAAAATCAGAACACCCATTTAAAATTACAAGGTACAGATTTAGGAAATGGACTTTAGAAATCCTGTTTTGAAAATAATGCCCAAAAGGCATAGAAATCATTTGAGTCAGGCAACTTCCATTTAACAAAAGGCAAAAATCAAGAAACTTCCTCAGAATTCACTTATATAATGATCCCTTCCTCAGACAGGATCTGCTTGACTACATCCATATTTGATCTCTTTTCTCATATACTGTGATACTCAGAATCAGGTGTTCTCATTTTGAACATTTAAGATTTATTTTTAGCAGATTTATAGAAAAGTTCCTTTCAAAAAGTTGTTGACTTGCGTCTGGCTTTCTCCAAAGCATAAAGCTAGCTCTGGGTAACCAAATATTTAATTAGAAAGGCAAAACATGACTTCCACTAGGAGGTTCAAACATGAAAATACAGAATAATTTTGACTACAACGCTGTGAACACTGCTAATTTCTATCCACTTATTTGTTTAATAGTTTTCCATTTCAAAATATCACTGTGGTAGATCAACAGCATCAGCCAAATGATGCCTATTACATCTGACACAGCTTATGACTGCTTATTTAGGTGACTGACAAGTTTAGTCTTTAACACTAAGTTTCATGCTGTTTTTTCATATTTGGTAACTAATATTATCCTGTTAATGTTCTGCATACATTTTACTATAGTTTACTTTTCTAACTACCCCCAGGGATTCAAATCAGAATCTATTCTAAAATGTAGACACCCAACATGGAATATGATCAAGATACTAGCAATAACATCCTTCCTCATGCACAAAAAAGGAGGATTAGATCTTTGAAAAATAATCAGTGATCCTGAATAACGTGATGTAAGTTGAATAAAGTAACTTTCAACAGTAAGGTATTCCTTGGTCTCCTCCAGAATATAGATTTACTAATGACTCAAAGGGTAAGCCTGTCACTTGCTGTACACCTGAGATGGGATTCATCTGTCCAAATGTAGATACCTGCAGTGTCATATCTACATCTAAGCTACTAAGACAGGCTCCCTTTTTCAGTCCATTAGCAATAAAGAGGGTTCTCTTAGACAGCACTTCACTTTATCCAATGTAGGCATCTAAAATGTCAGCTGATCAAGCCATAGAAGGTCTGTGTTTCATCACTGATGAGGGAAGGACCTTAGGATGACTAATTCAGATAGAGGAATTTATTGTATAAACATCTGGAGTTAATTCACTTCACACAACTGCTGATTTACGCTTAATAGAGACCTAGTCGATGGAATCTGGAGTCAGATTCTTCTCATCATAAAGCAGAAACTCGTATTTGTTTAATTAATCAGAACTCTTAAGTCAGGTGAGAAGATTTTTATTACCACACCAGTTTACATGGCTACAGGGAGAAGAAAAAAACCCAAACCAAACAACATGTTGGGCCTTCTAACAGTTTACCTCAACAAAAAGTCACCATTATTTTTACCTGTAGCAATTCGCATTACAAAAGTGCTGATATGTGATTTATAGTGGCCTTCCTCTTTAAACCTATCAACCCTCGAAAGATGATCTGGTACCACAGAATAATTCAGCTGTCACCAAAGTGTACGAATATTTGCTTTGGGGGTGTGCAGGAGTCTGGGTGTGGGTGTGTGTTCATGCTCTTCCTTGTTCCTTTTAAACAAGAGATATTTATTATTTCAATACAATAGTCAAAGAAATATGTGAACTGCATTAGGTTTCATCATACAGTATGAAAGCTTCACAATAGGATAGGTACATACTTTACTTAAACCTTTTAGAAAAAACAGTGCATGGTAATGAAATGAGTGTACCACTGCCCTATGTGGTATAATATAACATGTACATGCTCCTTCCAATAGGCTTGAGTTCACATGCTTTAGCGTGGAATTGTTCTTTAACATATTCTTAATGAGAACTTGAGATCATGGTAAAGAAGACCCTGGAGTTTTCCTGATTTACAGCAAAATGTGGAATTCTAACACTTTTTAAAAAAAGTTATATTAAAAGTTAATGGGTGTGTGATTTAACTATCATTGTGATTTAAGAACTTCATTGTCTTGGATTTTGTCATTACAGCAATTTTATTTATATTTTAGGTGTAAACTAGGTTTCTAGTGGAATTGCAATAGCATTCTTCTACAATTTTATTTGTACAGTATAGTATTATTTGGATTTTGTGAAGATTTGCATTTAAATTAAATTCAAAGAATATTTACCTGAAACAAACCAACTCAGAATGCTTTTGAACAGATATACTGTGCTTACTGGAGTATTCTGAAAAGTCACCAAGGAAGGGATGCTGTAACTAAAGTAAGTAATTGCATAAAATTTACACACTAAAACACCACAGACTTTATTATAAAGTTTTCAATAGAGAAAAAAATTAACATGCATGAAGCCAAAGGATGTATTGGTCTCTTGCAACTTACAGGAACTAGTTTGTTCAAAATATAATACTGGTGTATTTACACTCAAAACCAGAGGTTTTACTAAGATAGGTTAATCGTATCTTCACAGCTGCCAGGTAGAGATATCCATAATATCTGCTTAGTTTATTACTGCTACAGCAGTAGTAGTTCATAATTTTTTCATATCACCTTCCTGAGAGAGAGATCCTTTCACACACAGCTTTCTCCCACTTTCAGTCTCTCTCCTTCCAGGGTTCAAACCTTTTTACTCCCGCACTTTATTAGCTCTATGTTTCAGTGGCTCTTCTGCTCATGCTTAAAAAATGTCTAGTCTAGAGACTTGGAGCAACCAAACATCTCTTTTGCATGCACTGAGGATTGAACAGAAATTTACCAAATGTTTTAAAATTTATTCTGGAAGAGAACATTTCTCTGGATGAGTCACAGAGTAGGTACCATCTAGTCTATGAGATTTGGAAATCGGTGGCAATATTTTGCCAGAATACCTGTGGAGTTTGGCCCAAATAGCTTATGTAAATGGCCAGGTGATAAATGTCTGTACTATGCATTCCCCAAGAGCGTTCAGTTTGTGCAGATGAGTGCTACAAGGCATGCAAGTGTTAACTTTGTCAAAACTTAGTTGTAGAATATGCAAAAATAGTGCCTCACCAGGGTTTCAGCCAACTCTTCATGCCATGCTTATGTGATTTGTCACTTCTACCATGGTACAGCTGATTTCTCAAAAGATTTTGAAAGAGCTGATTTGACAATTGTTAGTCTTATTCACTGAGAAAAGAAAGAACTGTGTTACTGCCTTCTTTCAGATCCTTTAGACTGGATCATTTTCTACATAAAATTAATTGAAGCTGGTGCATTCCTGGGAACACTTGATTTTGATGAATCACTGTTTTCCAGTTTAATCTTCTTTCCCTTTCAGAAGTACCCAGAACCGTGGACAAAGTCAGTTTTGCACACTGACTTATTTGAATGAAACAATATTTGAATAATAAAACTATGAAGTGAAACAGGAATTGAAATTATTGGTGTGCTTTATTACATAACTGTTTCCTGGTTTGTGGTTATAAATGTGAAGATTTACAAATAATTTAATCCAAGACTCTGTAATCTACCAGCTACACGTTTAACATAAAATACCCCAGCTGGACTCTGACTAGGGCATGGGACTGGGGTGTTTTATGTCAGTGTTTGGTGCTCTACTTGAAGTCTGGAGCCTGATGGGGTAAATGCATTGTGTACAAGGGGCTCATGTTCGTACTTCTGGATTACAATTTCTCACAGTGCTGGGCTGCTGGCTACTCTGGAGGGATGAAGGTGACCTTCAGGCACAGAATATTTACAATGGAGATGCTGACACTACTGACAATACTGTATGCATCTCTGGATACCTGAAGGCATTGTCTATTGAGTCTCCTCTCTTTTTCCATTTCTGTTAAGCTTGTGGGAAAAGCATTTGCATCAACCCAATATATTATAGACATTCTACTCTAAATATAAACTTTGAAGTGCATTGTGCCTAATAAAGCAGAAAAAGAATAATGGAGCAATTCTCATACCTCTGTGAAGGCATTCCGATTTGCCTGTAAGGTAACTTTTACTACTTCAAAAGGGTTAACCACAACTGCCTCTGTCAACCCAGATCCCAAGCCAGCAACTGCAAATGCCTAGAAAAGTTAAAATTTTAGTTAAAAATGAAGGAATAAAATTTCCTATACATCAGATGAAACTGAATGATACAATGCAAACTGTGAGATGACCGTAGTGCAGCAGTATTCTATTACTAAACAACTTTAGCCCTTGTTTAGATGCTGACAGTTCATGAAGACAATGACAATAGCCATGAACTGCATTTGAAAAAATACAAAATAAAATTTCATAGCACTGTCAATGAATTCTCTTTTCAGCTGGAAGAAAAATTGTGGTACCAATTTATACGAAAACATGGAAAAACAATGCCCTCATGTTATCTTTGGGTGGAGTCTGAATAAAAACACAAATATAAATGCAGTTATGCAGCACTGGAAAAATAAAAACTCTTCACTGAGAACTAACTAAGCATATAACACTAACATATTAACTTAAAAATAAAAGAAATGTAAGAAATTAAATTAGTGCAGTACTTCAGCTAATTGCACCAGTAGAAGAAAGGTTCTCCTAAGTAAATATCAATCCTGGAAAGTTTTATATGGGAATGAGTGGCACACATGGAAATGTCAGTATTCACTGCAAGGATGAACTAACTCCATTTACTAGAAGCTGATGGTACATTACAGCCAAGGATATGGAGATATTCACTGCTTTGCTTTCCATCATGACACAGCATTTAAAAATATCTTAATTTCTTTGTAACAGAAAAATAATATTCAAGTATTTAGGTCGATTGAGAAAATTCAGAGGGGTTCATTTTAGTGATGAATTTACACACTTATTGCCTCCAATTAATATCTCCAAACTTTCTAGGGGCTGAAAAGAGTCCCAGGACCAAAATACAATACACTGAGAACATTTGCTGAAATCCAAGGAAACCAATGGTAAGTAAAAACAATAGTGAGAAAAAACTTATTCAATACAGAGGGATTTGAGCAGGGACTCTTGAGAGCTCAAGAAAGAAGAATGGTAAGTTAGAAGGGTAGTGGCGAGCTCCAGCCTTAGTGCCTTTGGAAAGGATTGTGTTACCCACAGATCTATTTTTCCAGTATGAGGTGGGAACATAACCTATCCCTTTCATCATCAACCATGAGACTGAAGCCAGAAGGAAGATGGTGCAAATATATGTATGTTCTTTTAACAATAAATGTTGTCTGGATGTGAGGTCTGTTGAGGCACCTAGAAGCACTCTGCCTAGCTCAGACCAGAATCACTCCCAGTCTTCTTTTTCCCTTGCTATCACAGCTATCTTAGGGGCAAAAATGTCTCTATGTTAACACTACTGCACCAAAAAGGTCAGGGTTGTCTGATGGTTGCTGCATCTGCTATATGAATCAAAGCAGCTTTTGGTCAGCTATTGAATGTTTATAAGTTTCCAGCATATTTTCCTCCTAAAAAAGTGCTGTTGTACCATGGAACCTTAAACCCTGTCCTTTCCACTTGCTAGAGAACAAATATCAGCCTCTCTATTTACATCTAAGGATGAGAACAGTCTGCTGAAAGATATAAGATAAAAGTGGAGATACTGCAAACAACTATAGGGTCAGTGGAATAATTAAGAGGAAGAGGAAACTTGCTTTAAACTAGGTAATATGATTCCATGACCATTCACTCACTGCAATGGAAGGCAGATGTAAATGGAATTAATACTGTTTGAAAGAGACCTGAAAGAGACCAAAACCTTTATTGCATAACTATAAAAAAAATCAATTGTTTCCTTCAGTTGTGATGCCATTACTGTGAAAAACAGGTATTTACTATTACTTACATTCTTACACCACAGAAAGCACTATATGCATGTCCTGTATTTTGTTTATAAAATAGTTTTGTTCTTGAGATGAAATCCTAACTCCACTGATGTATAAGAGAGTTTTGCCATTGACTTCAAGGGAGGTAGCAGTTTCTTATCAATAGTTTATGTTTCTATTTTAAAGTCTTTAGAATAAGACTGAAGTCTGTATTTTTGTTATAGTTGCACTGTGCCTGGCAGAACAGCACTTTGAGGTTGAGGTATCAAACTTGTCACTATCACATGTAGACTCTTCCATGTTGACTGTCACTATCCATGATAACAAATGCTATGATATTGTAGGCAATTATTCTGAGGTCATCTGATTAAAAAGTTAATGTGACTATCATTTTGATAAATTCTGTTATCAGTGTTTTCAAGGGACAATTCTGTTTGGGAAAACTTTTGGTTGAACTGGCCTGTTTAATTTTGGGCTGCTTTTATGGGAGGAAATGGATGGGACTATTCAGTATATGCGTATTAAATTAGAACATGAAGTTTTGTATCCATACATACCAGTCCTGGTGGTAATGTTGCATATCCTAGCAGCTTCTTATATTGCTCAAAGGTGAAAAACTGTAAATAAAAGTTAGACTGAAATTGTGTAGAAAAAAATTATGAGTTGCTTATGCAAATTAGTAAAACCAAACTACAATGGAGCTTCACTACCTCATATCCTGAGTAGCTGTGTGCAGTTCTGCAAAATAAACATAAACCACTTCTGTTTCACACTCTCTGTAGCAGTGTTAGATGTACAATACTAGACAATTAGGCTTCAGAACTGATGTTATTAGTGTATTATGCATAATAGCAGCATAAGTCCAATTAATATTTTATGTAAGAGTTCACTTACAACACATAGTTGTTGTTTTTAATTTATGAACTTTCCTTTAGCACTGAACTTTCATATACTGGTATAAATGTAGAAGCAGATACTATAATTTCTCCCAAACCCACCCTCACATCTTTAATATAATATACTGCAATCACTTTCATGTTTCTCACATACTAGTCTACTTCTCATCGGAGAGATGTAACTGCAGATTTTGAAGCTGAAAAGTCTGTAGACCTTTGTAATCTTTTACTGTTAACAGACACATTTCTTATATTTTTTGCTTTTTACAAATAAATCTTTAATCCAATTGTCTGCTTTCAGTCAGTGGTGTTCAGAAGTTCTGAGTATCTGCAAGTCATTAGAGGATGAATTTTGAATGATGTACTCTTGGGTTTTTGCAAGAAAGAAATGAGAAGCTCAGTTTCACCTGCACAAATATGAAGAAAGGCAACCATTTGTAAGTGGTTCGCTATCAATAGAACATTTCTGGCCACCCAAATCCATTCATTTTCAGTATGCCTTTTGTAAAATCTTCCAAAAATCAAAGCAGAATAAATTAATGGATTTGTTCTTACAAGAAGTGTTGAGAATAACCTTGATTTCACTGAAGTCAGTAAAGAAGTCTCCTATTGACATAAGACAGACAGACTTTCACTGTCTATTTCCTCATTTGTGGACACAAAGTCTAATATGATAATCAGTCGAGATATACTCTAAAGAGTATTTGCAACATTTTACAAATAATTGGTAAGATGCCCTCTGAAATACAGCACACAATCCTGGCCACCTCTGTTCAAAAAAGATGAATTCAGACTACAGCATATTCAAAACAGAGCTAGCAGGACCATAAAAAGAACTTAAAATTTATGATTAGAATGAAGACTGAAGAAGAATAAATGCTTGCCTCATTCAGTCTAGCAGAAGAGAGGCTGCAAGAGAATGAAAAGGAAAGGAAAGAAATGTAACATAAAGTCATTTGGTATAGAAGTAAAAACTAGTCATAAATAGAGTGTGGTTTGAGATCTGATGAAGCATTCTTACAAGCAGAGGAGTGGGGTCCTGCAATAGTTTTCCAATAAGAATAGCAGGGAAAAAATATTAATCACTTGTAAGGGGGAGTTTGATAAATTTATGAAGGAGATTATAGAACAGCAGAGGACTAGACTTGCTGACTGAAGGGATCCTTTCTGGTCCAGTGCTTCCATGTACAGTAAATCTCCCCAAGTCCCATATTGTTTTGCATTTATATTCTGTGAATATGTTGCTGAAGCCACTGAAAAAGCACTTCAGGTTGATGCCATGTAAGACAATTCTGAAGGCAGTGAAAATGATCTTCTAGCATAAGGAATAAGGACAGCAGAAAATTTTACCGGTTATAAAGAGTAGGTATCTGATTTCCAGCTAAAACCAAAGATATTGGAGTGTTATTCCACATAATTTTCACACATGGAACAACGCAAGGTCTGCAGCTATGGTTCACTATTTGTGAGCCCTGTAATTTGTCCAAGAAGTATTCACAACTTCGCCTGCAAAAGGAAAGTGCCTTTTAGACAGCACGTCCAGTATTATGGGACTAAACAACAAAACCCTGTCACAGATTCACCAAGACTGCATCAGCGCAGGTGAGAATCCACTACAGCAAGAGCTGTCACATCCCTGTATAGCAAAAGTAAATAACTAGAACCTCTGACTTTCCCGGCTACTTTCTAAAGCTGACTGATAATGCTTAATTTAGAGCAAGCTGACGGAAATGAAGGTGGGATCCTCTGAAAGTCTGTGCATTTCACTCCCACACATGAGGCTGTCATCCCTCCACATAGCACCTGCCCATGCATGTGACAGTCAAACTGTTTCACCATGAGAGAAAGGCAATGGCAAGCGAGGTCAACAGAGATGTGGGAATCGTAACAAACGCAAAGGAGTAAGTTTTTCAGACAAAACAGAAAGACTGGGTGATCTGTGCTGGGTCTCAGCCAAAGAAGACAAGCTCAGTTACCTCAGGGCTCAGTTACCACAGACCTATCAGAACAAAACAGTTTTTCCATAAACCACGTGTACAGGAACACAAGTAATAAGCACCACATTGTCATTTTAACTTGTTCAGAACCCTGTTCTATGGCAAAGTCAATAACATTTTTCAGTCAAGACCTGCTTCAAATGAAAAGTCACTAGAATCCCAGCAAAATCATCAGAGGACTGGGTGTTAATGTGTTAATAATGACACCACATTGAAAGTAGGAGGGAATATTTATACATAATGCAAAATTAGTATGTTAAATTCTTAAAACTGAAGGACTGATACTCTGGCCAGTGGATAGATACTTTTTTTACCCTCAGTAGGAATTATTATCTAATTTTGTAGAAAAGGTCCTAGATTTGGGCCCCAGATTTTAACTGCCCTCCAAATAGTGTACAGATTGAACACTAATCATGCAAACATCCTGCAAATATGTTTAAAATTGTACTGGCCTTGCCAATAATCAGAAAAGGTAGAAGTGTTACTTAGACTGTAGGTCTACCTTTTTGGATAACTGGAGCCATTTTATAGGTCTCTGAGAAAGTGTCAATTGTGGGTGGGTGAGTTACTTCACTGAATGAAATTAATTTCTTACTGTGATAAAGTTTGCTTTATTCTCTCTCCAGCATCTTTCTACTCATTGTTACCCTCCTAACCTTTAATGGAATTTCTGGTATTCCTTAATGTTTTCCATAGTGTTACAGATCTGTAAAACGGTTGTAATAAAGTCAGAAATACATTACCTAGCAATTTTTTGGTCTTAAAAATGTTACCTTAAAAATCAAAAGCTTCCTAGAGTCATAAATAAAATATCTACTTAATAGTAACTATGCTTTATATAATTTCTTAAAGAAAACAAATCAATAGCAATAAAACTTTATATAAACTTTGTTGGGTGTACCAGTGTAGGTAGTATATATACAATTTCAGAAAAAAGTATTGAGCTATATCATATGGATTTATATCATGCGTATCCACCCAAATTTTTTTTTTTTTAATTTGTCTTTTTCTCTACAGTTGTACTAAGTTAATAGCTTTGTGCAAAAAATATATCTCTGAATAAATGTATTTAAAACATGCTTTTGTGTATATAATAACCAATATTGTCCATCTGGCAAAGATACACTTTAATTCAACTTACACAGAAAATAGCCGAAGTACTTACCAGATGTCTCAATAACTCTAAGGTAAAGATATATGCTTGAAACAAGATGTCTGGGAACACATGAACAATATAAATTTGCCCCAAAAGTTCATCTGTTAACCATTGTACTGGCATCATCACTTCTTTCCTCCAAGTTCAATCTAACATAAAGTTATAAACTTTGACTTTTCGTGTTCCAGAAATACCAGCTTTCTTTTTAGAAGGGAAATAAAGAGAGAGAAAAAAAAGAAATAGCAAGACAGACATGAGAATGTAGTTGACTAAAAGGGGAGCTGTACCTTCAACGTTTAGCTGAATAACTGGGGCTAAATAACTTCATTTGAGCAGCTTTATTTTTATTTGCAAATATTAACACCAGATAAAGACAATATACCAGTAGCACAAGAAAACTTCTTCTTAGTACAAGATCTCCCTTGTCCATTCTCTATACATTTTTATGAGATATACAAGACAATATAACTAGAAGTTTTAAAAAAAACTAATTGCAAACACAAACGAAGCTGGAACCTAGAAATTGCCTCTCTACCTTTTGTGCTTTCTCAAGTCTCAGAACCATAGTCATGGACATAGTGTTCCTCTTAAATCTCACTAGTCAGTTTGGTAGTGGACAAGGGACATCTTGGGGCCTGTTAAAATGAGGAAAACTATTAGAAGAATAAAAGGTGGAGAGGGAGCCAAATGAAGCAGTGACTTTTCTGTTGGGGTCATATCCAAATAAGGTTAGTGGAAATTTGAGACAAGCTGGATTCTCTTCAGGTCAAGCATGGGTGCAAGCTCCACTTTGCATGTTAGAAATTGTGTATCTCACATTAAATTGCTTCAGTATCCAGCTTCTTACAAGGACATAACTGTCATGCCCTATTCTGTGACTGAATTCTTCTAATGCAGAATTTGGCTGAAGTCTCCTAGTGTCCTAGGAACAGCAAAAAATTTAAAGGAATAGTGTAACCAATTAAAGAATTAAAGGATTTAACTAAAAAACATGTTTAGCATTTAAACCTGATTCTCATGGTTGCAGAAACACTACTGAGCCCTCACATAAATGCCGAAGAATTAGGTAAAAAGCATCCCACTAAGGGGGGAGCACCAGTAAGACATTTTGAGGAGCTGTGAGCTTATGATGTACAAGAGGCTGTGAGAATGGAGTCTGTTTAGCATGGATATAAGAAGGCTAAGGGGACCTAATTCCTGTCTTCCACCACCTAAAAGTTATATAGAAGACAAAGTCTGACTTCCTCAGAGGTCCACAACAGAAGGACCAGAGGCAATAAGCAAAAGTTGCAACAGAAGAATTTGGTTTGGATATAAAAGGGAAAATTCTTCACAGTGAAGGCAATTAAGTGTTGGAGCAGGAGCACAGAGAGGCTGCAGTCTCCATCCTTGAAGATTTTCAGAGCTTGACTACTAGACAAGGCATCTGAATGACATGATCTAACCATGAAGTCAGCTCTGCCTTGAGCAGGAAGCTCACTAGATGACCTCCAGAGATCTCTTCCAACTTAAACCTTCCTATGATCCTATAATTATATTGAATATTGTGGGTTTTAAGCCAATTTAATCAAATTGAGCAAAAGAAAGTGTCTCAAGATTTTTGAATGACTCAGATTGGTAGGAGAAAAACCAAACCTAGGTTTGTATTTTAACAAAATATATGCTGGAGTCTAAAATGCATGATCAGGTTGACTTTGACCTGTTTCAAAAAAGATGAAATGGAGAGACAGAAAAAAAATCACAGTCCAAAGAAAAGGAGTTGTTAAGAATCTTCCAAGTATCATCCACCTATTCTTCACTGACATTTTGCTATGAAACAGAACTTAGTTGCATTAAGTAATTTTGAGATAGGTGACATATGTCGTTTACATCTAAAATGCCAATGCAAACAAGAAGATGACATTACCAGAACTCCTTTAGGATTCTGTTACAAGGTCACATCCTGTCACTTTATACAAATATTATTCCTCTGTAAAGGAATTGGAATGTGAATGATTAATTGCAGACTAAGAACCATAATCATATGCAACCTTTTTAGAAAGAAACAAAAAAAGAAAGAAAGGAAAATCAAGACATTCTGTATAATAACTGCTTTTTGACACATTTGTTGCAACTATGGGAAACTTTGAAGTTCTAAAGTAAAAGATAAATAAATATTTGCTCATAACAGTATGGATGCTTTGGTAGATTTAGAACTTTAAGATGAGGTGCTTAATTACTAGGTTTTAATTAAAAAGATTATGACAACTGCAAAAAATTGATGTATTGATGTATTTTGCTTAGGAATGTTACTAAAATAATGCTCTACAAATTAACATAAAAGATAATAAAAGAAAATCTGATCAACATTTGACATGTTGATTTGACAAAACCACTTTAATAGGCTAGCAGCTATTTCAACTCTAAGACAGCTGGAGTAAAATGTTCTTTGCATGAGGAAGAGTTGTACCCATTACTATGTTCAATCTGTAAAAATGTGAGTATGGAGTAGAGCACTCTTTACAAGAAAACTCTGGGCAGCACTTCAAACCTACAGATATAGGTTTGAAGTGGATATACCTCCACTTCAAAGAGGATATATCTCCTTCAAGTTACAGAGTAAGTGCTTATTAGGAGTGGCTTCTTTAATGGCTTCTTCTGTTGACTTATGATGCTATTCTTAGTTGGTTTGCAAGTTGCTAGGCATTTTCAGTAAAACAAAATGTCTAAACCAGAGCTAATTGTGAAGCTAAAATATCACTTAAAGTATTTTATTAATTTTGATTATGAAAAAAGTATTTTATTAATTTTGATTATGTAAACTAATTGTAATTTGTTTTTCAGTAACTATATATAGTCAAAAATACCCTAGAATTTAAGAAGCTTATCCTACACTTCTTAATCAAGCACAGTTTTTACTGTTCTGTCAAGAGGACAGTTTCTTCCTAGTAAAAATCAGACGATTAATATGCCAAATAAGTTTAAGATTCCAATGTCAATCAGCAGGGGAGAAATAAAATATTTTGCTGTCACTGTCCTTACTCGTATTTTTAAAGAAGAAAGTACAGGGTTTTTACCTTCACTGCCCTTTTGGGTGTCTCAGCCAAGATGGGAGGAAATATTCCTTTGTAGAAGCCAAACAATCTATTGAAGAAAAAAAGAAATTATTTCTGTATGGATAAACAATATATCACTACCATGCTACCAATTATATTTTCACTTTTGAGTAAAGCAACTAACCTTTCAGCATTTCCAAGCATACAGATAAATAATGATACTCTTTGCTTACTTGTTAAGTAACTAATGTGTTACCAATTCTACTATGTGCTGGTGAGATAATATCAAAACATCAGCAATGAGTAAGTAATAATTCAATCCATTTTTTCCGAGTAGACAAGAAATTGTATTTAAAGGAAGAGGAACTGTTTTGACAATGAAGAGGAAGTATTATTTCCTTGTTTTAATTTTTTGATATAGCAGTGACAATATTAAATATTGAAGTCACAAAATACAGATTTTGAACAAACTGTGACTTCAGCAAGTTGCATCCAAAAAACATGGATGCTCTTCTTCAGATGCTAGGATAAGGCATCTTTTAAAGTTTAGTTTTAAATATGTCTCAAAATAGATGAAGGGTTTTTTTTACAACTTAGTTTTAACACAAGTTAGCTATTCACAGAGCCATAACAGAATGTTTGGGCAATATCTTGCCACTATACTCATTCAGGTCCTTGCCCCTCTTGCCTGGCTCCATAAACACCCAAGTTTACAATAGCTGCTGACTTCTGGAACTGGTCTGAAGCCAAAGATCCACTTGTTGCAGTGCTTTGCTTTGCATCATCTAAATTTCATATATATATATATGTATACAGCCTGCATTTCATATATATATATACAGCCTGCTACAAACACACATGGCATTTTCAGGCAGCCTGAGCTCTGCTTACAAGGCCAATGTAGATACATAACACTGAGTCTTGGGAACACTTTAAATGACATGTAGTTCTCAAAATCCCCAGGTGAGGTAAAACCAGACATAGTTCTTGTCTTCTAGGTCTCCACATTAACCTTGATAGTGCACAGGGAGAGTTCAGAAAGGCATCTAATGCAATCAGCAAAAAGCTACCTTGCCAGCCAACAAGGGTATATTTTACAACTTATCCATCTTCAGAGTTTATACACTTCTTTCAGAATTGTAAGAGGATTCTGTCTACAAAAGAAATAACTTAAAGCAAAGCATTTGTGTCTTTTAAAAATGTTGAAAGGTGGTGATGTTGAAAGGTGGTGACTATGTTTCTAAACCAGCCTATTACTTGGAATATCTTTGCAGGGTGTGGAAGAGTCATCACATCAACAGATTCTCCTGTAGTTATCCTATGAACGTCAAAGGAAAACAATTAAATTCACATTCCCATGTGAATGTAAAATACCACAAATTCTAAACCATTTTTTTCCACTCTTCTTCTAATGTTTCTCTGGAGTTCTCGTCTTAAGATGCTTCAATATAAATGAAATAATTTAGGCTTTGTAAGATGCTCCAGAGTGGTAATATCACTTATCCTTCCTCTGAAGTAAGCAAGTTATGAATTCCAGTCCATGATAAAAGGAAACTTTGAGCATTTTATACAATGAAGGTTTCATGACAAAACACTGAAGGTCCTTGGGTAGATTTCAGAAATTCAGTTGAGTCATCAGATGTTTCAATTTCCCTGAAGTCTCATTTTCCAAACATAAATATGTATACATACATACATACATACATATATCTGTATCTATCCACATAGATATGGATATAACTGTAGATATCTATAGATATAACTATAGATACACTGGATCCAGTCTTGGTGTTTAACTGTTCATACCTATTCAGAGTATATTCCTGCTGATTCAGTGAGCTATTGAAGTGTTGAATAACTTTAAGCAAGTGATTCACACAGTTTAATGTGAGTTCAAACTGAAACTGAGATCCAAGTAAGATCAGCCACAGGAACACAGATCCCTATAAACACTTTCTTCCTTTCAGCTCAGTCTAAAACACTGTAGGCATATCTAAAACAGGCATTCTGTTTGGAATTTCTAGTACTCTGGCACGATTGGAATTGGGAAATGAAAATTGCTCCACTGCTTTACTCACCATTGTAGCTCTGATTACCAGAAAGTGAGACCCAAGCTTAATCCAGATTTTCTCATTAGTAAAAGATAGATAAGCAGAGAAATATGCAGTGTAAAGCAATAATTCAGTTCTAAAACCACACAGTAGTGTTAACTAGACTTACACAACAGTACAGGTTGCTTTTTCCAGGTTGCCTGCTTGTATACTCGAATGTATGCACTTATTGAATATATGAGCCTTGTAACATTCTCATGGTCTCTGAGGATCTCAGGAAAAACTTTTCAGAGAGAATGTGGAGGGGAAGGATATACCAGGAATTTGAGCAACAGATCTGCCATCTCAGCAATCTTGCAAGGCAGGTAATCACTTCTAAAGAGTAATCCACCATTCTATCACAGCTCAGTGTTGAAATACCAGCAATTCAGATGATAAGCAGACCAGGCAGTGGATTGCTTGAAAATTCTAGAGAAATGGGAACTGAAAATAAGAAAACCAGTTATCCATTGCTTCTGAATCACTGAAGGGCTGAGGATGGAAGGGACCTTGAGATCATCTGGTCCAAACACTTGCTGAAGCAGGGCTTCCTACAGCCAGTTGCCCAGGATCATGTCCAGCTTTTGAATATCTCCAAGAAGGGAGACTCCACATCTCTGGACAACCTGTGCCAGGGCTCAGTCACCCTCACAGTAAAAAAGTGTTTCTTGATGTTCAGATGGACCCCCCTATGTTTCAGTTTGTGCCCACTGTCTCTGGTCCTGTCACTGGGCAACACTGAATAGATCTGGACTCCATCCTCTTTGCACCCTTCCTTTAGGTATTTGTGCACACTGATGAGATTCCCCCCAAGCCTTGTCTCCTCCAGGCAGAACAGTCTCAGCTCTTTCAGCCTTTCTTCATATGAAAGATGCTCCAGTCCCTTAATCATCTTAGTGGACCTTTGCTGGACTCTTGGCAGTATGTTCATGTCTCTCATGTACTGGGGAGCCCAGAACTGGACCCAACACTCTAGTTGTGGCCTCACCGGTGCTGAGTAGAGTGGAAGGATTCCCTTCCTCAACCTCCTGGCAACACTCCTCCTGATACAGCCCAGGATACCAGTAGCCCTTCTGGCTGCAGGGCATATTGCTGGCTCATGTTCAACTTGGTGTCCATAAGGATCCCAAGGTCCCTTTTTGCAAATCTGCTTTCCAGATGGTTGGCCCCAGTATAATACTGGTGCATGGGATTGTTCCTCCACAGGTGTAGCACTTCACACTTCCCCTTGTTGAACTTCATGAGGTTCCTGTCAGACCATTTCTCCAGTGTGAATGGCAGTACAACACTCTGGTCTATCAGCCACTCCTCCCAGTTTTGTATTACCAGCAACTTGCTGAGGGTACACTTTGCTTCATCATTTGGACCATTAATGAAGATGTTAGATCCAGTATTGACCATTGGGGTGCATCTCTAGTTACTGGTCTCCAGCTGGACTTCATACGACTAATCACTGCTCCCTGGACCTGGCCATTCAGCCAGTTTCCAATCCACCTCACTGTCTGTTCATCCAGTCCATTCTTCAATAACTTCTCTATGAGGATCTTACAGGACACTGTTGAAAGCCCTACTGAAGTCTGGGTAGGCAATGTCCACTGCTGTCCTCTCATGTACCAAGCCAGTCATTTAATCATAGACAGTTATTGCGTTGGTCAAGCATGACTTCCTCTTTATGAATCCATGATGATTGCTCCCAGTTGTTGCCTTGCCCTTCATGTGCCTGGAAATGGTTTCCAGAATTAGTTGCTTCATCAGCTTCCCTGGATCCTCCTCCTTGCCCTTTTTGAAGATAGGAGTGACATTTGCTTTCCTCCGGTCCCCAGGAACCTCTCCCAGTTGCCATGCTCATTTAAAGACAATTGAGAGCGACCTTGCAATGGTATCAGCTAGTGCCCCCAGCGCTTGTGGGTGTATTCCATCGGGGCTTATGGACTTATGTATGTTAAGAGTGCTTAAGTATTCTCTAACCTGATTCTCTTCCATGAGGGGTAAGTCTTATGCCAGACCTTCCCCCTCTCTCCAGAGCTTTGGATTTCTGAAGGCTGGTCTTGCTACTAAAAACTGAGGTGAAGGTGGCATTCAGTATTTAAGATTTTTCCATGTCCTGTGTCACCAGGGCCTTTGCCCCATTCAGCAGCAGTCTCACATTTTCCTGAGTCTTTCTTTTACCACTTAGATACTTACTTACAGAAGCCCTTACTGTTGCCCTTGACATTCCTCACCAAGTTCACCTTCAGGTGGGCTTTGGCTTTCCTAACCATGTCTCTGCATGCTCAGACAGCCTCTATACTCCTCTCACATTCCTGTCCCTGATTCTACCTTCTGTATACTCTCTTTTCATGTCTGAGTATTGCCAGGAGCTCCTTGCTCAACCACACAGGCCTCGGCATTTTTTCTTGACCTCCTGTGTGTTGGGATGGAATTCTCTTGAATGGAGGTGATCCTTGAATACTATGCAGGTTTCCTGGACTCTTCTTCCCTCCAGAGCCTCATACCATGGGACTTTTCCAAGCAGATCCCTGAAGAAGCTACAGTCTGTTCCCCTGAAATTTAGAGCTGTGATCTTGCTTTTTGTCCTGCTCCCTCTCCTCAGGATCCTGAGCTCCACCATCTCACAGTCACAACAATCAAGGCTCCATTTGACCTTCACATCCCCAATGAGGCCTTCCTTATTTGTGAGTATGAGGTCCAAGAGAGTACCTTTCCTCATTGGCTCCTCTTTCACTGTGTCAAGCGGTATCATTAATGCTCTCCAGTAACCTCTTGCATTGCTTATGCCCTGCTATGTTGACCCTCTAGGAGGTATCAAGGTGGTTGAAGTCCCCATGAGGATCAGGGTCTGCAAATGCAAGGCTGCTTCTAGCTGTCTGTAGAGGGCCTCCTCCACTTGTTCTTCCTGGTCAGGTAGCCCATAGTAGACACCCACTATGAAGTCACCAGTATTGGTCTGCTCTTTAATCTTTACCCATAAACTCTCATCATTCACCCTCAGGCAGAG